CCACTGTCCACACAGACAAGCGCTCAGACTATGGGTGCTCTACAGCTTCTCATACACACACGGAAGGGAGGCAGCCACCTAGGGCAGGCCAGAGTGGAGGGCCTCATGCCCAGTCCGAGGGGACAGATGGGGAGCTACAGTGTGCACACAGTGTGGCCGCCCCATGGTCAGGGACACTGTTATTCCTCTTTCTCTCATTTCTAACCAGAGATGTCCAAGAAAGCCTCCGACGTCCCTCCTGGGCATTACTTGATGCATGAGAGAGGCCTCGGAGCAAGGGGCAGCAGGCCCTGGTGACCCGGGCTGAGGGGCTCCAAGGAGGAAAGGAACCTAAGGGACAGGGTGTCAGAGTCCAGCGGGGGCGTGATGGGGGTGCCAAAGGTCACATATCTGGTCCAGTATGCACTGGGGTGGTCAGGAAGGACCTCACCCTGCCCCCTTTCACAAGAACCAGGACTGAGGGAAGGAGCCCTGGTGACTCAGAGGTTAAAATGCTCGGCCCTCAACCCACCATCTGCTCTGAAGCAGAAAGATGTAGCAATCTGCTGCCAGTAAGCAAGAACTGTCAGCCAATCAAAGCAAAGCCCCTTCCAAGACTGAGACTCAGAGGGAGCCCACAGCAGGCTTGTAAACTTGCTGGTGACTGTCTTGAGCTACTTATGAGTGGCAGTGGGGGAAAGGCTGAGTCCGACCTTCAGATGAGAGAGAGAAGAGGAAGGGCTGACTGGTCTGAAGTTTGGGGAGACTGGGGAGCTCCAGAGCCCAAGGACACTGACACAGTCACTGAGAGCGAAGCAGGAGGTCAGCTGGTCTGAAGTGGGAGGAGGAGTGGGAGAACACCCAGACTTGCAGATTGCACCCATCTGACCTAGCTCGGACGTCTTGCGGATCAAAACTCAACCCCATGAAGATAAAGAAGTTTCATACAGGAAGCCAATATAAATTGCTACAACCTGACCAACTGGACTTTTGCTCAAAATCCCAACTGAAAAGGAGTCTTCACATCAAGGATCAAGCCCTCAGTACCCAGGATTAATAGGGACGGACAACTTAGACATTGTTGTTGTTGTTGTTGTTAAGTGCCGTTGGTCAGTTCCAACCCATAGTGACCCTGTACAGTTTCCAAAGACTGGTGAGCTTGTAACACCGACCTTGTGGTTCTAACCGACTTTGTGGCACACTGCCTGTGGCTAGCTGCGGGCACTATAGTCACAGTGTGGGTGGGAGGACCTGCAGGCCTCTCTTTGGGGGGCCTGGCTGCAGGGCGGGCCCCTGGCTGCTTTCTGGGAACCAGGTGTTTGGGATGTTCTCTAAGGGACAAACGTGTGCCTCCATGCCAACTGCCTGGGACATCATCTGTTCAGTGTGATGGAGGCAGACCTCTGGGACCCCGGTGGGAAAAGGTACTGTGAGGTGCACTCACTCAAAACGAGGGGTTCCCTCAACTGAAGACCCCCACTTCACTGTGGAGGGAGCACTCACTCAAGGGGACATGCAGCATCTCGTGGACCATCTGCAGACCCCAGTGACATGCCCCTCCCTGGTGGACCTGACACGTGGACCCGCTTTGTTGGGGGGTCCACCTTCTCCAGGAACAAGACCTTACACAGGGTCTTCGTGAGCTCTCCCAATGAGGTGCCAACACAAAGACTCAACCTACTCAACCTATTCAGACCCCTAGGGGCAAGGCAGATCTTTGTGGGGTTCTTTCCATTTCAGATTTTGGTGAATTCAATTTGCTGTTACTTTAGTAGGATACTTTATTTATACTACAAGTGAATTTTTTTTATATGTGCTAGCATTTATATTAATAAACAAATAACTCATTCTTTCAATAAATGTTTACAAATGTGCCTTCCAAGGTCTATATACTATCTATATTATGTACATGTGCCTATATGGTGCCCGGGGGGCAGGGACGTCCCTTGTGTGGTATGTGGAGGTAAGGGAATCCCTGGTGTGGTACCCAGGGGCCCAGCTGGAGGGAGTGGGCAGTTGACAGTTGGAGACCACGTGCACGGGGGACACTGCCACAGCTGGAAGACCCCCTCAGGGAGTGACCACCACCTGGACGCCCAGTGCGAAGGCCCCAGCAGCCAGTAACCTGTCTTCTCAGAAAGTGACTTCATGTCAAGGGTCCAGGAGGCTGAGCAGGCCAGCACCACACCTGACACATCCCACCTGGTGCTGGGAGCACACCTGCCCCAGTTCACTGTCCCAACTTCAGCAACTAGGAACTGACCCGAGTCACGCATCTCCTGCCCGGCTTTTGGGTGAGCAGACTCAGTCCTACCTGTCCCTGCCCAGCTGGGCTCCTGTAGCTTAAATGCCAGGAGTACCCCCTGTTCTGGAAATGCTGGCTCCTCAGAAGAGGATTCCGTTCCTATGGAAATGGCTGCAAACACTCCCCAGGGGTAACAATGCTGCCGAGAGTTGGGGCTCTCAGCGCCATGCTGCTGAGTTCTGCTGCTGAGTTCTGCTGCTGGAGGTGGCTGGGATTCCGTCCCAGGGACTCAGGGCATTCTGAAATGTCACCATTGCAAACAACAGGCCCCCCCCCCCCCCCCGCATACTACGGCACCGCGGATTTTCTTTAATTTCTGTTTTCTCTTCTTCCTTTCCCATTTAACTCAATTCTCCACAACACATTTTGGTGTTCCTAACTTGCTCTCCTTTCAAGCCCCAGGACTAAGAAGCCCTCATTTATTTTGAGCTCAAGAAAGACAAGGCCCATCTAGTGTTGCTCCGCCTGCCCTCTGCCCCCATGATGCTTCTTCTGGGCACTTGGGTTGAGGGAGGAGAGCTCTGACGGGGAGAGGGGGTTGTCACCAAACCAAACCCACCACCTTCGAGTCCATACCGACTCACAGTGACCCTATGGAAACACAGGAGAACTTGCACCAAGACGCAGCCTGGGCTAGCTCTGACGTCGGAGAAACATGCAGCTAGTGAACGGCTCGTCACACTGGCTCCTCCCAAGGCCTCTGTGGGTCCCCTGTCTGGGGCCCAGATCCCACACTGCTGATCCCCTGGTATTGCCAGCGTCCCTAGACAAGGCCACGGTGGGGTTTGTGTTGATGGGGAGAGCCTGCACAGGGGCCACCCAGCAGCCGCTACCCAGTCCACCTTCCCAGACCCAGAGGGACCTTGATGTCCAGCAGCCACTCGCATCTGCTGTCCTCCAGCCTCAGGGAGGCCATAGCACTGTCTTGACCTCCAGGGCACAGGTCACAGAGTCCCCCAGGAAAATCAGCTGCCCAGTGCACAATCTCCCATGAATCAACTCATGGTAGGAGTCTCACATCACTCTCCCATCACGGGGGCAGGTGGGACACATAGCACTGACCCATCTGGGGGGGCACACAGTACTGACCCATCTGGGGGGGCACACAGTACTGACCCATCTGGGGGGGGGCACACAGTACTGACCCATCTGGGGGAGCACACAGCATTGTCCTACCTGGGGGGGCACACAGCACTGTCCCATCTGGGGTACGGGTGCCTGTTTGGTTTCCATGTCCCTCCCCACAAAGCGCTGAGCTCGGTGGGTCAGGGTTGCCATGGGTGAGTTGGGGTCCAATGTAGACAGTACAGGCACCTGGGGCCAGTGGTGAGACCCCAATGCCCCCATGCAGAGCACACCTGGGCTCCACCACACCCCCATCCAGCATGGCCCCTGGGGACAAATGTCCATCTGAGCATCCAGGAACCCTGGTCCCAAACCAGGGAGTTCAAAGGTGAAATGACGAGGAAGCCCATGGCCCCCGGTCAGCTGTGAGTCAGTTCCCCTCTGGACCTGTGACCACGTGTCCCGGTGGTCCTCAGGTGGGTCAGTGACTGGAGGGGACAGCTCGCTGTGCCGGGAGCTGGAGCCCCTGCCCAGCACACGGGCACCAGTACCCACCCACCCCAACTCCTTTGGTGGGAAGTAGCCATGGGTGTGGCCGGGAGAGACCAGTCCAGCCTCCATCAGTTGGTCTCTGGTCCTCTATGGCCCGAGGTGACACAGACCAGCCACAGCCCATCTCAGAGGGGTCAGATCTCCCTCCTACTGAGCATCTCCACAAGCTGTCAGGTCAGGCAGTACCTTCTACCCACTTCACAGACAAGCCGTGGAGGCCTGGAGACACCTGGCTTCCCACACAGTACCCCTGAGCTGGTGTCAAACACCAGGGAGCCTGGACCACGTCCCTGCTGGGTAGGCCAGACTGTCCTCTCCTGGGGGTCCAGAGAATAAGCCCTGGGAAGTGGGTCTGCTCTTGTAGCCGGGACTTCAGCCCTGTCAGGGAAGAGCAGGGTTCACGGGATGACAGATGGTCCAGGCAAGCTGTCCGAGCCTCTGAGTTACTGTGGGGGTACTGACCTGTCCTCATTGGCAGTGTGACAGCTCATGAGGGACACAGCTGGTCAGGGACAGTGTCGTCCTCCCTGACCACGGACCACCCACCATGTGGGGAGGACCTGGCCCAGTGGAGAGCTCCCTGTGGAGAAGAGCTGTCCTCCTTCAGTGAAATGGCCACCACACAGAGACAGGACGGGGCTCTGTACACAGGGCGGCCCACAGCCAGCAGAGCCCGCAGGCTTCACACTCAGCAAATGCCACCAAGTGAGGCAGTTGTGGACATGGCTCAGAGAGGTGCAGCAGCAGGCCCCACGTCACACAGCAACTGCCCAGCCCACCCTCCTCCTTCATGCACCGCAGCCCAGCAGGTACAAGGAAGCTTCTGAAAGCCAAGGCCACCCCCAGCCCCTCCACAGGGCCACGTGGTGTTGGTCACACCGTAGCTTGTGGACATTGACCACCACATGAGGTGCCCACAGCTAGGTGCGTGTTTTCCGCTGTGATGGGCTCCCCGGCCACGGGAGATGGCCAGGGAAGGGGAGCCCGCACACCTCAGAGCCCTTGTACAAATAACCCTGTGAACCGACATTTCATCAACCGCTCTCCGAGTTCCCGGTAGAAACTCAGGCCCAGTGCGTCTGAAGAGGCGTTTACTTACTTGGAAATCTCTTTCTTCTAGGATCTCTTTCTTCCATCTCAGCAGAAATGCAGCACAGACGTACAAGTGGAAGTGAGAAAAGCCCTCAGGTTCCGACTGAAAGAGAAGATGCCACAGGAAACAGACGTGAATGTGCTGCGGCCGTGAGACACGCAGGGCTCCTATAGCTGACTCACTTGTGTGCGTGCTTACCGCCCTCATCCCAAGACTCTCCTCTCATTAACAAAAGACAGTTTTCTCTGAAGTGAACCTGAGTTATGGAAACAGTGGCGCACTTGCACAGATAACATCCAACAGTAACAAAAGGCATTAACTCCACACGGGCACAGAACGCACTCCTGCTAACGGCCGTGGTGTTGTGTGGCGTTCGGACTCTAAGTGACCACAGGTCAGAGCGGAACTCCTCCTTAGGGTTTCGGAGGGGAAAGTCTTTCCGGAAGCACACAGCCTCATCTCTCTCCTGTGGAGTCGCTGGTAAGTTTGACCCACCAACCTCAAGGTTAGCAGCCCAATGCTTAACCCGCTGCGCCACCAGGGAATCCATGTATAGGGCAGCGAACCTCTTATTTTACGGGTGACCACGTGGTGAGCCTGAGGTAGGTGGCAGAGCTGGTACTGGGCTATCCAACACCACACCCTTGTTCCTTCAAAAACGAGGGCTCTCCCCAGAGCCTTCACACGCACCCCTTAACCCGGGACCCTGTCACTGCCCTGCTCCAAGCTTGCACCCACAGAAACTGAAGAGCCTGTTTCCACTGAGTCGATCCCAAATCATGCGCCCCCCCACCCCATGTGTTACTCAGGAGAGCTGCGCTCTGCAAGAAGAGCTGTACAAAAGCAGAGGGCCGGGTCTCTCTCACCGTGCCACTGGGTGGCTCTGAACCACCGACCCTGAGGCGGCGAGAGGATGAGCGCCAACAGCTTGTGCCCCAGGACTGTCTCTGAGACTGTGTACCTCAAGCTCTTTTGTGCAAATGAAGCTCACACCTCCTATCCCCCACCCGCCCGGACTCCCTCAGTGACCTCGCAGGTCCAACAGTTAGCTCTCAGGGACACAGCTCTATTGTGCCCATGTGACACCTGCTAATAGTCTATTCAATAAACACAATCTGTTCAGGATCAAGGTGCACCAAAACCAAGCCATGGTATTTCAATCTCCTCAGATGCATGAGAAAAGCTGGATGAGAACTAAGGAGGACCACAAGAGAATGGATGCATTTGAATGATGGTGCTGGAGAGAAAAAAATCACAAGGACTATGGACAGCCAGAAGAACAAACCAATCTGTGTCGGAAGAAGTACAACCAGGATGCTCCTTAGAAGCCAGGACGGCGAGATTTCGTCTCTCATACTTTGGACAGATTATCAGGAGGGACCAGTCCCTGGAGAAGGACTTCATGTCTGCTAAAGTGGAGGGTCAGCGAAACCAAGGAAGACCATGAATGAGAGGGGGTGGCACATGGCAGCAGCTCAAACATGACAACAATCATGAAGGTGGCCCAAGGACCAGGCAGTGTTTTGTGCTGTGGTACACGGGGCCACTGTGAGTCGGAGTTGACTTGATGGCACCGGACTAGAAGGAATGAAGAAAGTCGGGTAGAGAAGGGAGATGGAAGTACCTTGTTACAGGGAGGAGGTGTGGCTGCAACTGAAGCAGGGTGGCCAGTTACCCAAGAAGGTGACAGTGTAGCAAAGGCCCAGAGAGCGAGGGCTGGGGGCTTCCAGGCACTGAGAAAGGTACAGACCCCTCCTCACACTGTGCTGCCAAGACGGGGTCATGTGGCTGGAGGTGCCGGCAGGGGCTCCCGGCTTACCTGCCAGGCTCTATTTATTTTTATTTGTTTTTTTGTTCCACTCAAGTGAGGTGATTAACTCATTAAGGTATGGTTTTTCTGCATTTCTGATCGAAGTGGGTAACTTACTCACTGTCCCATTAAGTCCCACGTTTCCATGATCTTTATGGCCCTGGAGTGCTGATACTTCCTTACCCTCTTCTACGATTGCCATGTTTGAATCAGGAGCTACTTACCAGCGTGAGTTTTTAATCTACAAACAAATGAGCTATGTTTTTCTTTTGTTTTGTTTCCTTAGCTTCTTTCTGGCTCTCGATTTGGAAGGTAATCACGTTGTAAGGGAATGTGGTTTACATGAGCTGGAACTCATGGGGCGGACCTGCTCTGCCCTGTGGAGTTGCTATGAGTCGGAACCATGGGATGGACTCTTACGGCCTTTCACTCAGAATTAGGATGAAATTCATCCTGTACCAACAGTTGATTGCTGTTTTTTTTGTTTTTTTTTTAATTTCTGGACCATCCATACAGGAAATACTTCCCTAGTTTCCTGGACCTCAAGGACTTCCGGTTCCTCTAGATAGTCAGTGGTGTGGCCCTCCTTCCCCGGGAGCATCTGTCACCATGGCTCTCTCTCCTACTGGACTCACTCGGCTCTGGGGGCTGCTGGGGCCCCTTCTCCATCATTCCGGCACCAAAGACAGAGACAACACACACACGCGCCACCTACTCCAAGGTCACCAGTCACGGGGAGTAGAGGAAGTAAACTGACCACTGAATCAGTGGAGGTGACCAGCTGAGTGCATCCAGAGAGCCCGGCAGTTTTCCCTTTCAGACTCCAGAAGGACACTCAGCCAGCTTTGCCCCTCCAGGCCCCTGGCTCCCTCCAAGGTTGGCAGGAACAGGAATAACCATTGCAGATGGGGGTGGGAGGTGAGGGGAGTTCTCCCAGGAATCCTGTTTACACTCTTAATTTGCTTAACAGTCTTTCATTTAACCAGCTAGTGCAAAGGGCAGGCCTCCCTGGGACTTATAGAGGTTGGGCTCTAAATCCCTGCAAGATGCTCCCAGCTGACAGGCAGATGTAATGGCAGGCGCATCCTCAGGAACACCGCATCAGGGGGAAAAGGGAGCTTTACAGCATCACTAAGTGGATTATTTGTCTTCAGCGACTTGGTAAATTATATTAAAATAGCAATTTAATAAATAAAAAATTCATAGCGTAAATGGAAAATGGGTTTCTGCTTTAATGAAGCTTAACCTGGACAATAAATATTGCTAGCCAAGGAGCTCAGAGAAGCAACAGCGAGGCCAGCGCTGGCAGCAGCCTGCCCACAAATCCAGTGACAAGTTGCACATGGGGCCACTGGACAGGCCAGCGGCACCCACCTGGGAGCCAGCTCTGTGACTCAAGGGTTTGGCAGGGGCCCACAGTGGGAACCCCAGCATCAGGAACTCAGTCTCAGGGACTCAGAGGCTCTAATGAACACAACATAGCAACAGTTTTCCTTCTGACCACTTCCTGTCACCTCTCTTCATCACTAATCCCGGGACCAGGGGCTGACAGAAGTGCCAGGCCAGGCTGCGTGTCCCATTCCCTGCGCACATGTCACAGGCTCTCAGCACTTCCAAAGGGAAAGCAGAGCAGATGCTAGGGCATTGTTGTTGTTGTTGTTAAGTTCCAACCCACAGCGACCCTGTACAGGGTTTCCGAGGGTGTAAATCCTTACGGGAGTAGAAAGCCTCATCTTTCTCCCGCGGAGCGGCTGGTAGTTTCAAACTGCTGACCTTAAGGTTCACAGCCCAATTCGTAACCACTACGCGCTAGGGCGTTAGGGGGGGCTAATGGACGCACATGCTGATGGAGCGACCACATGCTCCGTGTGCACGCACAGAGACAGAGCCCACTCTGTAGGAACCCAGAACTGGAAGGGCCCTGCATCCTACAAAACAAGCCAGGGCACACTTCCACAGAGCTGGGTGATCCCACAGCTGGCTTGGGGCTCCATTCCATTTATCTGCCCCAAACTGCCTTTCAGTGACACCCACTTGTGTCTGTCCATGCCCACCCACTCCTACCCTCACCATCCAGGGCATATGTCACCTCCAGCTGGAGACCCTGAGAGTCCCTCTCACTGCCTTCTTCCTCCAGAGGAGAACTAAGCAGTCCTCAGAGGACCTGAAGGGAAGTCAAGAAACCCGGTTCATCTAATCACAATTCACCTTGGAGCCAATATACCTGGTTGTTGTTGTTGTTGTTAAGTATTGTGGAGTCGGTTCCGACTCATAGAGACCCTGCACAGGGTTTTCAAGGCTGCAAATCTTTACGGGGGCAGAAAGTCTCATCTTTCTCCGGTGGAATGGCTGGTAGTTTCAAACTGCCAACCTTGAGGTTAGCAACCCAATTCGTAACCACTACGCTACCAGAGCTCCTTGATACACCTGTTGTTGCTGTTAAGTGCCATCGAGTCGGTTCCGACCCATAGCGACCCTGTATAGGGTTTCCAAGGACCAGCTGATGAGCTTGAACCATCGACCTTGCAGTTCAAAAGAGTTTTCAGTCTGACCGCCACACCAGGACTCAAGATGGTCATTATATTCCAGTGCCCACCCCCTAGAAACAACTGATGTCAAAATCACACCAGGGCCCAGATACTCTGGGAGGACATCATTAGAGTAAACCTCCCCCCACCCCCATGAAGACAATTCCTATCCAAATCACATCAGGGCCAAGATACATGTGAAGATGGTCATTATAGTGCCCCCTCCCCCCCAGTAAACCAGCGGTATAGCTTTAGTCAATTTTAGGGGTCTCAGAACTCAGTATCCCTTGTGTCCCCAGGCAGAAGAGATAAAAAGTCACTCTGATGGGAGGGGGGAAGGGGGCCTACCCTGCAGAAGAGGGAGAGAACCAAAGAGCACTCCCAAAACCATAGAAAAAGATGTTTGAGGAACAGCCATCAACGTGCTGAAAGACACAAGAGAAGCCTAGTCACACAGAGACACCCCAGGCCCAGGAACAGACTCGATGCTGAGAAGGTGTCAACTGTCCCCATCTTATTTTATAAAGTCAGTGCATTGTGATAAAATTCCACCCAAGCTTTTTTTTGCAAACTAAGGAAGCTTTTTCTAAAGTCGACTTTAAAGGATAAGAATAGTAAAAGACAGCCCCCAAGGAGAGAAGCACCTGCCACCTCAGGCATGAAGACCTTTACCAGTAATAGACACACGGTGGTACCGGGTCAGGTAGAGCATAGGACACAGCACTCAGAAACAAACCATCCCATGTGAGCGCGTAATCAATGAC